TTTTTGGCTTTTAAAGTAACACTTAAAAGTTCAGTAAAAATGGCATGCAATATCTATTTTTGAGGTGTTCTCTCAATGAACAGTGTCCTGGTGGTGCTGACCAGACCAGGAATGATGGCATCAGAGGTGCAAGAGGCTCCTCTAAAACAGATTTATTTAATGACCCCAAAGCTGCCTGTTTGCCTGCAGGCAAAGTGAGCCTGTTAGTGCTATCTGGGGTAGGCCTGTGGCCATTCATTTTCTCTTGTGTAATTCTTCCTCGCACCTCGCTTTCCATTTCCTTTGAGATAGAGACTGCGTTGTTATCGACAATGAACCTGTGGAAGTGGAGTGGAGAGATACGACTTTGCTGAGATAATAGATATGAGAAAAAAAAAAGTGGGTTTGGTAAAATGAAATGGAATTGGAATGACATGGCTCTGTTGGCTGCCTGTTGTTCAGGAGCTCAGTAGTTGGTCTGACAGCTGGGTGCGATGCAACACAAATGAGCAAGCGAAAATCTGGCAGTGTTCAGTGAACACAGCTTTCTTAATTGTGTATGATCTGCAATGAAAGATCCGTCTTCAGATATTGATGTAACGGCCGGTGACTGGCTTGAATAAAGCTTTTTGAAAAACGACGTTTAATGAAACATTGGAATACAATTCAAATGCAGAAATAAATTTATTTTAGAGGCTCAAGACTTACTGTCACTTTTCACATCAGTATTTTGAGCTTCTTCTGAGTTATATCACAAATTTCCTGTAATTTAACCTCAATTATCTTAAATAAATCAATTCATGCAAGTTTTACTAATTAACACATACACTTTTATGCTCTTTTATTTACTGGAATGGTTTGAAACATATTCCTATACATTTTTCTAAAAACTTTACAGTATTTCTAAAGATCCTCCTTAAATATTTTAAAAGTCCTCTTCCTGTGTTCAAAAAAAATAGACTTTTAGGACCCTAAGTAACATTTTTGAAACTTTTTCAGAAGTTTCTTAGTAAGATGTTTCCTAATAGCTTGAAAATAGTTGTAACTGAATGGCATTCAGCTCAATGTGTTATGGCCAGAAAACAAGGTTTCTTAGTCAAAAAGATAAGAAATATGGTTTTAATGATTCTGTTCTTAACTTGAACAAGTAAAAAAAGTCTTCAAAAATGTTTTAGGAAAGTAAGTAACCCTAAATCAGTCAGTGTTATTTAATATTTAGGAAACTTATCTTCAATGTGTGAGAACCATGCCCAAGGCTCTAATTAACTGGCTGTATTAGGCATTTTTTCCTTTCGCCAAGAAGGACGTTATGTTAATAAATAATGTTTGTGGGTTCTTACAAGCTTTCCATTGCTTACATAGATATTCTATATGGACATTCCACATTTACAATGAATTTAAAAATGGATTCTTGGGCTGTACTAAAAAAAAATGATTATTATCATTTGTAGCTATGATGAGGACAGCTCAGTTTTTCTCCAAAATAATATCCAAGATGCTTGCAAAGCTTTCAAAATCATGTTAATATAATGAATGCTAACTGCTGCACATTATTTGTATCAAAAGATAAATGGCCAAAACTCTTGAAAAACTCAACGAAATCATTGCAGTTTTCCATTTTTTTGTAGAATCACTGATATCAGGTAATCAAACAGTGTTCCAAGAATGTTTTCTCCTACTGTGATATGTGAAATATGTGATATGAAATGTTTTATACATTGACTTAAAATTTTCAGTTTTGATTTGCAACTGATAACTATTCTGAGTATTTTTTTTTTTTAAATCTGCTTCAACAGTCTAGGTTTTTCTGTCTAAAACCAGAAGTGATAACTAAACAGAGACAAGACTTTTGCAATTCTGATATTTCCTGGAGCTTAATTTCCTGCATTGCTGCTGTGTGTTACACCCTTTCCTAATGGCCATCTTCCAGACAGGCTTCTTGAAAAAGTTTATTGAGCTCAGGCTGACAAAGTCTGATGAAAACTTTTATTGTGGTTTGAATCAATTTGTTCTCACAGATTGTCTTTTTAAAGAAAAGTGTTTAGTGATTATCTTTTTACTATATTATTAAATTTATAATGGGAGATAGATACAATACAGTAAAAGATGGAAAGGAAAATATGCAAGCTGTGCTGTATAGTATTCCTTAGTTCTTGCCAGACTTCAGTCCTCATTTCGTTGCCTCCAAATATATTGGCCTGAAGAGTCTGACACAGTTTTAAATTTAGGTCTTTAACTCTCTGCTTGCTGAATCCTTTCTTTCAGTTGTATAAAGAACTCTGCTCCCACATCTTTGCTGGACACCACAGCTTGAAGCAGCATCATAGATTGAACATCACTATATATTTATTACTCATGTTCATACTTGAATGTGTTTAAAACTATGCTTTGTAAGGAAATTTCAGAAGCTGATAATGTATAACCTCACCAGTAGAATTTTATATTATCATCATGGTGGATTTTTAAAGGAAAGATGTAACCTTCTGATCTGGCCAAACAAGTGCCTCAAAGACCACCTTCCCCTGTGTGTCAATACCTTTTTCCAGTCACAGCGAAAGTACTATTTAAACTGCTTAGACTATATTAGTTTATACTGACTAAATAGTTTAGGGAAAACAACACTGTTTTAGTTGGTTAATTATGGATCAAATGGGAAGAAATTAATCTCTACTTTGAAATGGCAGTGAGAAACTGGTGGTCAGTTGCAGACACCGGCCTCTGCTGCCAAGACCAGGAGATAGCAAAAGATGGTGGACATTTCCAAAGTCCTAACTTCTTTTCCAAGTTAAAAACATCCTCTGCTCTTCTTCTCACAGATGTTCGGTTGCCATTTCCTTGGAGCAGAAGTATCTCTTACTTTTTTTTTTTTCCTACCACTGTAAGAACAAAGTCTCCAACTCTCTTCTTTAGCCCATTTTCCAAGAATGTGTTCCCCTTTATACACCTGCTTTTAAAGGCATCTTTATGATTTCCTGAAGACTGACAGCATGGTCCCAAAGGTGAATTGATGATAAACCTACCACAATGCTTTATAGAGGAATGTTACTAGAAGAGAAAAGACTGCACATGGCCTTCTAAATGCTTGCATATAAATTTCTACATTCAACAGAGATTTTAAAGCAGTGTATAATTCCATCAATGAATTTCATGTGCTTCCAATCTTTTATTCGTCTCGAGTACTACGTATTTGAAAGTGAGTTTGCTTGCATGCATAAATTAGTGATCAGTATGAAAAAGCGAACAGAGGCATGGCTGAAAATGATTTTAAGATGCCAAAGGAAGCCCCTAATTAAACAAGTTTCTCCAATGGAAACAAGGATGAGCCTTGCAAGCAATGTAGAATGGCACTAAAAGGCAGCTAAGTACCTTCCCTAAATAACATCTTCTAACCCACCTATAATATCCATTGTCCTTCAATTTTCTCATCTTCACAACTTTTTTTTCACCTTTTTTTTTCCTGAACATATATTTGATATTTACTTTTCCCAGCATGGGATGTCATCTTACATTTCTTTCCTTAACTTGATGGATAAAGCATTCCTACCCTCATTTTGTTCATAGCTGACAAATCAAAGAGTATTTCTCAAAATTCACATTTGAAGAAAAAAAAATATATATATATATATAGTTCAAGAGAAATCAATATGATTGATGAAATTTGTCCTTTACATATCCATGCATGAAATAATTCTAAGTGGAGAGGTGCTTTCTGATTAAAAGACAAAATATGTTTCTTTCCCCAAACTGTGTACATCTATTTATCCTATTAAAAAAATCAACACAGAAACATACTTTCTAATGAATAGTAGTGTTATTTGTGTCAACATAGTGCATCTAAATAAATGTTGAGCAATTCAGTATTTTGAGTCCTTTTGGACTAGGAAACCATGTTGCACTTATAAATAGTGACAATTTTATACTGATGTCTCCAGGACAGCTTGCTAGGTTGTATGGAGTACATCCCCCAGCGCCTGACACAGATTGTCCGTGTCATAAATTCAAACAACCTAATTCTGCACTTCCTATAATGGCAATAGCCAACTTCACTCTGTGCTGGCTCCCTCAGTGGGAATGCACTCTTTTGCAAAACAGGCCGTCTTCACAAAAGAAACAGTATTTTTAGGAAAAATAAGATACCCGTTGATAGAGGCACATGCACTTCTTGTATTCTGCTAAATCTTGTGCTTATGTTGTTTTATGATTCAGAAACACTTATTAAGGATGTACTGAATGACCTGGAGAAACATCAGGTGAATGTGGAGGACCTGAGCTCTTTGGAACTGGACGAGATCGCTGATACTATTGCTGATGCAATTCAAGGTGTTGACATAGAAGAAAGTGAAAAGAATGCTGGAAAAACTAGAGAAGATGAAACAGGAGGAGAAATGAAGAAAGGAGATGCGCAAGGAAGGGCAGAGGTTCAGACCGGATTAATGGAGAACAGTATTAACATAGCAGGTATTAACCCAGAGAGCTAAATATAGCAAGACATAGATATATGAATTTTCCTTTTTGTGTTTCGCTTTAGTGCTAGACTTCTTTTGTTAGCAGTTTTGAAGAAGAAAAGATTTTTTTTATAAGGCTGCAAAATTTTAAGTTTCATGTTTCCTTTTTACAGTAAATGCTTTATTTACCTGAAATCATCTGTTTGTGAACCCTTGGTCTTCAAGCTTCATAAACAAGATAAACCTACACACTCAATTACATTGAAAGAGAAATTGCTTTATGCTTTGTGGTCTAATTTCCTATTCTTGAAAATGAGATATTTAAACAAAATGAAAATGAAAAATGATTATATCCCAGAAATGTGTTTCAAAATATGTGAAAAAGATCATGTGTTTTGCAGATAATCATTCTTTAATGTACCCTAATTACATACAGAAGAAAGTTTTAGATAGATCCATATATAAAACAACTTGTTCCCTTTTCCTGCTCGAGAGCAAAGAAAATTATTATGGTTATTTCCTTCTGTTTGGACACAAATTTTCATGATGATGCAAATTCAGGAGCTGCAGTAATTGCCATTAATGAGTCAACGCTTAGCACCATGGGACATGAGATACCACTCACCCATTCTCTATTTTAGGAATGTTATATCAAAAACACCAAAATCATGTGAAATTTATGACAAACAATGCTCTTTACTGTCTTTTATATTCTATCAATAGTAGGAAGGTGATTGACAATGGCAATATACTGAAATCCTTACTGGTCAGAGGTATTCTGATTATTTTAATTGCCAATTCTGTCTGTAGATTGAAATGAGCAGTCTTGTGGGTTTGTCTTGAATCATGCTGTGAGAGATGAATAAGACAGTTCATAAACTAAAGAACCAAAGTTATTTAACTGAGGTCAATGACGTGACTGCCTATCATCACTGTAGTTAAAATGTAGCATGTTTCTGGTATAATGTATCTATAGATATAAATCTTTTTCTTCTACTAAAATGTGAGTGTTGTATATGGTTCCTTTTTGCTTAATGTAAATATGATGTCCTTTCTGCCAACTACAATCACATTATTGGTTTTTTTGTTGGATATTGATAAACTGATGTGAAGTTCAGCAACTTATTTAGCAAAATAACATTATTACATTGGCTCTTGCAGTATTATTTCTATTGATCCTGCATTAATTTTCCATCTAAAAGTAGAACTAGAATAACCATAATGAATTATACTGTGCTGTTTATTGTGGCCTTTCAGCTATAATGTCTTAATGTTTAAACTGCTTTAAAAAGACTGTCATTACATATAAAGCTGCCTATGAGCAGCATTTGTTTCATATATATGATGCATTTCTGTTATAATTATACATATGTGCTTTCCACATCCTACAGATAACGGAGTACGCGAAGCCACTTCCAAAACTGATAAACAGGTAGAGTACCAGTATTTTAACAAAAAATATTTCATTTCAGTATATCAGTTTTATATAAAGCAAGGATTAGAAATACAGATCAAAGGCTTAAAAATAATTTAGTGTTTTATGTAGGTGTAATTTAATATTACAGCATAAGCATATTGTCGATGCAATGAAATATTGAATGAAGATTTTTCTAATCCTTACCCAAAATATCTGTGCCAATTAAAAAAAAAAAAAAAAAAAGCGAGTCCTATCCCAACGGTCAGACTTTTCCTCTTAGTAATTTTTGAGTGTTCAGACATTCTATTGAAAACACTTTTTTTTTTTCACCTCTCCTCTCTTAACTCTGGGGAATGTGAGCATCTTGCTCATACAATCTCTCAGATTTTGAGAGGCAGATGAGTAAATGCATTCCCTTTGTGAGTTCATTTGTATGGGAGGATTCAAAATTTCATTTTCATTCATGAAATCTGCTGATCTTCACTTTTTCACTGTCAGATCTGAAGTTAATTCTTCAGAACTGTGGAATATTAGACATACTTAAAATGCTGTAGACAATACCCTTGGTGCTAAAATCAAATTTGGGATTTTAATCCAAATTAGCTTTAAAATATTTCTCATGAGCTTTGAATCATACCTTACAGTCAAAATTACTTATAGTCCTATTTTATTTTAGCCTTTTTTATTTTTGAGATCCTTTTATCTTCTGATTCGGGGTTCTATGGAGCAGAAATATCTTAAAGAAATACTTTCAAAGATTAAATTGAAAAATTTCCTGCTATATACTCCATCAAATAGCTAAGTCTGCAAGGCATAAATAAGCAAATCCTCTGGTGTTCACAGTGCCCATCGACCAGGCAAGGAAAACACACAAGTGGACACTCTGGCAGGAGTTTAAATCACCCACATGAAATCTTCAGAGGAATGAAGCACTGCAGTCACAATTGTCCTATGGAGGATCTCATGCATAGGTTTCTCAGTGACAGTTTGAATAGAGGATGTGACAGAAAAGAATGCAATCGCACAGAGCACAGAGACCATAAACCATTATCTCCCATCAGATGCTTGGCTATAATATGTTTTTAATATACTTTTATATACAGAAATTAGCAAATTAATTCTCTAGGGATGCGTTTTGATTTTTGCTTATTGTTTCGGTTTATTAAATTAATTGTATGATCATATTTTAAACTTAGTGGATTACTCACAAATATTTTTTTCACAACTATTTCTAGAGATGAGTAAGTGAAATATAATTTGTGACCTAAAACCTGTTTCCTTTCCTATGTTATGACTTACAAGACCCAGAAGAGGTATGCATGTACTTCCAGGCCCAACTCTTAGGGACATTGACAGATATCTATATCATTTCTCCTTTTATCAAATTATTTGATAATAAAGTTTTATTCACACCAATACTCTCTCTGAGACACAAATACAAATAAATGCTGCATTGCAGTAAGCCTTCAAAGGAGGTTTTGTTCTTCATAACTTTTCTGTGTTTAGTTTTACAAATACTAATATTCTCTTAATACAGGAGAAAACTGCAAAACTAGTTAACTTCTTGAATGAGAATGCATTCCCTGAAAATATGCCTAAAGAACTTTTACCTGAAGAATCTACTAAGACAGAAACCAAGAAATCTGAAGATACTGACTCTCCCTCTTCTTCCTCAGAAGAAATAAATGCTGGTGTGGAAAACGTAAAAAGTGAGACTTTCTCGAGGGAACTGACAGCTGCAAAGAACATGGACTCTGACTCTAAAGAGCTGAGTGAGACCCGCTACTGGATGCAGAATGCTTTGATGAAGGATGAAAATCCCTATGAAGAACTTCAGAAAAAGACAGGACATGACTTACAGCTTGAAGTGAAGTCTTTCAAAGAGAATGACTATGGCTATATTGTGACAGCGAAAGAGTAAGTATAGCAACCAATTTGAATGGCGTTTTCAAATGGAAAAAAAGATAAAGTGATTGCACCCAATGAAATATAAATGTAAAAGAGAAAAATGCCACAGGCCTAATTTTTAATACATCTGAAACTGTTTGCATCTAGTTCAGTACTTTGATGAAACTATAAGAAAGGAGTTCTGCTCTCTTACAGTTGCCAGTTCTTCGATATGGAAGGTATTTAATTTGTAGCCCGCACTCTATCTTCTTATGTTCCAGTGACCTTCCAGTATGTCAGTAAGTGTGCTTATGGTTAGGATGTGGGCTTTAAATATTTGACTTGAAAGTAGCCTAAATATCAATGCCTGAGTCACTCTTTGAAAAAAATGACACACAATAATAAAGCACAATATTTTCTCTGTAGTTTCATTTTGATCTGAAAATAACACAAATAGGAATCCACACATCACATATGCAGCTAGTTGGGAAAGAAAGACCTAATGATTTAAGGTCATATCACTAATGAACTTGACATTTAATACTATACTTTCGAAAGGCAGCTTTTTCCCCCCTAGTGATGCACAATTTATCAAAGGAACATTTAAGTGTTTAGAATGTGGGCACCATCACATTCCCCTCCTCACCCGAAGAGTAATATTACATCTCATCTTGCCTGAGAAGTTAGGAAATTCTAGTATGGGCTTACAAATCCCTGCACCATTCTATGTTGCTTTAAAATGCCTGTGACTGGGCACCAAAGAGGACGTCTTCTTGTTTGCCTTTTTCCACAGGATCTGCTAGGGGCAGGTGGGATCAAGAAGAAGGGGTGACATTTGCTGGGGAGGGATTTCAAATAGTGCATGGAGTAATATGCAGAAGAGAGTGAAAGTGGAGGCCTGGCAGCCCGCAAATATCAGAGAGACACAGAGGCAGGGACAGAGACTTCTCAAAAAGCAGGAAACACACAGTCCTTTCCTCAGAGATAACAAGAGAGAAGGCTTTATACAGAGACTCATTACCTTGCAGAAACTTTTGCATATAAAGTTTCGTAGTTACTGAACTTAGACATTCTGGAGGAAAGGACTCACCTTGAAAAGACATATTGGAAAGAGATTTCTGTTAAAAATCCTTGTATTGCTGTCGTTTTTTGTTGTTCTGGCAAAACAGTTCTAGTTCACCTTCTAAAGAAACCTAGCTCTAGAGTTTAAAAAAGATCCTTTGGGGGTTTTGGAATATTAACTTTAAAGAGACTCCCAACTGAGGTGGGGTCCTTTCACACTCATGTGACCTTATCTCTGTCTATATCATTATTTAATCCTCAAGTGCTTCAGATTCAATTAACTCATTTTAAGCTTGTTTTGCAGTCACACTAACTTCATTTTCACTGACTAGTTCTTACAGAAGACCTCCTATTCTCAAGAATCTCTTCCTGAAGAAAGATGGTTATTTAGCAGATTATTCTCCCACTCTTCTGTCTAGGCTGTGTTCTCTCTTTGCTAAGGAAGTGCTCAGGAGTTTCCTCTTAAGTCTGTCAAAAATTGACGAGAGAGCCTAGCTAAGCCACTTCTTTTAGTTGCTGCGTGCAGATACTATTTGAAGCAGTAGAAGCTAGTTTTCCCTCATGCCTTGCAATATCAGTCTGGAAAGTACCTTATTGTATCCCAGTAGAGTCATGTCCCTTCACCATCCTGATTTCTTTGGCCTCAAAACTCTCCAAAGGCTTTCACAGCCCTGCATAAAGGGTGATGTTCTGACTTGCAGTCTTCACAGCATATCAGTTCTCCATCTGTTACCAGTTTTCCTTCTTAGATAGCTCCCAACTGTTTTTTTTTTTTTTTCCCTATAGTTTATGTCTCTTATCATTTAGTGACTCTTGTGGAAGAGAGTTGTTTGGTAAAAGCCTCCTACCCCTACAGGACTCCATATACACTCTCATGTAACTTAGCATGCATCCTTTACATCATTTACTCTTTTATTTCAAGAAAGTAGAATGGTACATTTCTTTTATACTAGATTATTACATTTTTAGAATTTTTCAAGCAAGATGCTTTTAGAGGTACATTGGGATGCTGTTATAAATGCTCAGAAGCAACATAAAAGACTGAAATGTGTTCAGTGAAACCGCTTCAGATGTTCTGGATTCAAAAATTTAAAGTCTATAAAAGCAGTTTTTGTATTTAGAGGTAACTGGCTTATTATGAAAAGCACATATTCTCTGTAGCTAGTCACCTCAACTGATATCTTGTCACTACCCTCTTAGAACTTTTTGAACTGTTAGATGTCCTGTTCTCCAAAGTCATCATATAGAAAATGAGAATATGATTTCAAGCTTTTTTCCAATTCTTAATCTAGAATGAGTTAATTGGTGAAGAGAACAAGCTGATTAACTTGAACTAAAGGAAAAATCCTTTTGTACGAGGATTGCATTGCACTCAATCTCCAGCAAGCAGATTACGGTTCAGGGTTCTCAGCCAGTGACTTCTAATACTTCAGTCATTTGACTTTCTTTAGAACTCCTGTTGCCACTTTTTTTTTTTTAACATTTTAGTGCTAGATAGGTCTTCTTAGGCTGTTGTCAGTTATTTGTTTTTAATGGGATTTACTGGAATGTAAGAATAAAATTAAAAACTCATGTTTTGAAAAATAAATTTTTATACAGTCTGGACTTTCATAATATAACAATATATAAAAAATTATTTCAAGAAATTCTGCATACTAAAACCAGATCTGTCCACAGTGCATGAGCAGTGAAATATTTTCTACAGTATCTGAGTATAAGTATTTATTACTTATTTCTATTTCCCACAACCCTTTCCTTAGTACATAAAATGGTGTAGAGAGCAATTGGACCAGTCTACCTGATAGTAAAGACTTGTTCATCATGAAAGTTGCTCTAATTATATTTAATCTTGTGGGAGACAGGGTAGAGAACACGATGATCTTTGTTAACTATCACTGCATAGAAGAGCAATTTTGGTGTCCGTTTAATGAGCTTTTTTTTTCAGTAAGTTTCCTGTATAAGTACGTTTTTATACTGTAAATCTTACTTGCTGTTTACAGTAAATAAACAGTAATAATAAGTGACTTTGCTCTGTGGGTATGTTCACACATATGTACACATTCATGTAGAATTGTACATGCACATTGCATTTATACTGTGAAATAAGGGAGCTGGAACTATTCCTAGAAAGATTTTAGACAACTGTAAAAGTTGAAGCTAAAGGTAGGCTTGAAATATGACTTTTTAATAGTTTGAGTTTTAGACAGAATCTCATATTAAATACCTTTCTTGGAGAAATTGGCATATCTGATATTACAACGGGTTACTATTTAGGATTTGGGTTTTTTTAAACCAGTCATAATGTCTGCCTATTAAATGAAATGCTGAAATGAAACATTAGTGGCACTTACTTATTTTTGAGTACTATTATCTCAATATTTTTCACCTTCCTCCACGTAAAGCAATAGGTCATAGTTCCAATCCCTCGACTTTTATTGGCCAGGATTTTTTTGAGTAGCAGAGCTTCACTTTTACAGCTGAAACTGTGGTCTTTTGGTGAGAGAGGAAAGTAGTCCAACACATTTGTACATGGGGGATAAATAGCAAGAGTTCTTCTCACCTTCTGATCTGAAAATAGAACTGAAAAGATTATACTCAGTGGTATAGTTGACAGATGTCAGGGGTGAGCCTTTCACTATTAGATTCTCAGGCTACCATGGCTTTGCAAGCGTGACCCAAAGAGATATTAAGACTGCTTGAGTGAACTCCTAAGATGGCAGCTTTTAATTGTGCCACAAAGCAAAGATAAACATTTCCATGTAATACTTGAAGAAAAGATTTGTGATAGTTTAAAGACTTGTCAAAACGGCAGCCTGTTTGTCAATGGTAAGAACAATAGGTCACTCCTGCTGTGTTCATCTAGTGACCTTTCAGACGGTTGGAGCACTGCAATCCATACCAATCCATAATATCCATCAGCACTAATCTTAGGAATGAATTGACAGTTTCAGTGCAGAAAATTGTCCAGCAAATCCTCCACGGTGCTGCTTCAGCACTTTATTATGCTGAGAATCCAATCAAAATGGGTGATTTACTTTGTTCACTCTTGCCTTCTTCAAAAAAAATTGTAATTCCGTAGAATTTTTGTGTGTGAGAGTTTGTTTCTTCCTCAGTGTTTGTAACTGTTTCTCCTAATGCTAACTCTGAAATTCTAAAATGATTTTACAAGGCAAATTATTTACAGGTTACAAATTATTATTTAGTGCCATTGTTGCAAAATGTTTCCCATTATACCAAGAATACATAAATGGGAAACCTCAAAGTTGTTGCCTGTTTTTGGATCAAAATACTATTCCAGTTTTCTGAATTTTCACTTCTTGTTTTCAAGAAGAGTAAACTTATTAATTGGGAAAAAATGTCAACCTAGGGCTCATTGTAGGCATATGATTTCACATAATGAAAATGCTCATTTGTCTGCAGAACATGTTCTAACTGAGGGTGAAAATCCCGCAGTCAAAATGTTTAAACCGTGTGTAGGCTTCTGAGGCCACCCAAAGCTGAATTATCCAGAATATGCAGTTCCTATCATTTTTAGTAAAACTGAACACAAGCTGCTGCGTGCTTAGCAGTTTACATAGTCAAGCTGGTGTGAATCATATGCATCCTCTTAAATATGGGGTTAAGCAGCTAGATTTAGCCATGCTGGGAAAAATCCTAATCTGAGAGTGCAAACTTCGTCATTTTGCACTGATTAACACTCATTATGGTTTGAGCCTCAGAGGTAGGACATGCTTTTCCAAGGCCATCCCTGGACACCCCAATGTGATCTATCAGGATATATGTGTGTTAAGTTTTTCATTTAAATGCGAGATCACAGGCAATTAATGGCTTGTAAGCCAATTTCTGGCATTGTTATATTAGTCAAATTCTGGATAAGTAGTGTTTTGTCATATGTTGACTATCAATTCCAGATTCTCTGTGTAGAATTATATAAGTTGTGAATCTATTCACAACATTTTGATTTAATT